CTTCAGGAGTGGGATGATCACAGCTACTCATGCCTCCTTAGGACATTCCCAAGGGGTTCAACAATGAGGCTCTCATGGTAGACAGGTTCTGGAGACTTTTGCTATCTTCATCCAAACAGGTAAGTCATTATCTCTTTATCTGCAGTTTCACTTTCCGAGGTTTCAAATGACTAAAATATTAAATGGAAAATTCCAGAAGTAAACCATTCATCAGTTTTAAATTGCATGCTATTCTGAACAATGTGATACAACCTGTCCTACTCCATTCTGTCCAAGAAGTAAATCATCTCTTGGTCCACTGTATCCATACTGTATATGCTACTGATCTGTTAGACATTTAGCAGTCATCTCAATTATGAGATCCAATGGTATTTCAATGCTTATGTTCAAATAATTCTTCTTGTACTTTCTATTATAATTGTTCTATTTATTATAATACAGCAATTGTCCAATTTTTGTTGTTTATTATTGTTATCTCTGGGCCTAATTTATAAATTAAACTTTACCTAGACATGCATGTCTAGGAAAAAACATAGTATATATAGGGTTTGAACTATCCATGTTTTAGGCATTCACTGGGGAGCTTAGAACATATCCCCTGAGGACAAGGGGGACTACTGCATTAACAGCCAGTACTCCTCTGCTGCACAACAGTGGAGAAACCCAACTCACTCAGATGAGCGTAAGTGGAAGCTCATCACGTGTGACCTAAAGATTCTAGACCGACTTAGAAAACTGGAGCAGGAACACAGCTAGTCCAGCCCATCTGAGGTGGGATGGAAAAAAAATAAAAGGTAGAGACAAAAGGATGAATAAGAAAATATAGGCTTAATCTAAAAGCTTTGTTCTAAAGCTCCTCATACCTTCACTTCCAAATCCAGTCCTCTCTCTTAGGCCTATCACTGCCAAATTTCTGGGAAATCTGTAAATCTTAAGAATTATCATAAATTCACCCACTTAAAAAAGATAACTTGTGCACTCTTAATCAGCCTACATAATAATTAAGCAAAGAGAAATGCACTATTTTAAGAAACCTGTAATACAGGGTACTTCCCCAATCTTATCTACTGATCAAATAATGGAGATCACCTAGGCCTAAAGATCCTGAGAAGGACCAGACCACCATAAACTTATGTCACCCCTCTATACCTTCCATGCCCACTCATCAAGTTTCCTTTAATTAAAAGAGCCCAAGAACTCTAAAGTGTCTCTCACTCCTGAGATAGCCCATGTTCTCCCTTGAACATGTATTCTTTGCTTTCTTAAACCTATATGCCTCTAACTTGTCCTTAAACTCATTTCTGTGATGTTTGTCAAGAACCCCACTCACTCTGAGTTGAGGTCCCCTCTACAAGAAATTCCTTGGTCCTCCTCAGGTTGCACATGGACTCCAAAGCCAAGAGCACAGGCAGCCCTCCTCAGCTCCCCTCTGCTTATCTGTATCAGTCTCCTCACTCACAGATGAGCCAGTCTACGTAGTGGGAAGTAAGGCAGCCCCCAACTTTAAACTCCCCAGTGTCGTGTAAGCCCCCAGAGAGGCTGACTGAGTGGCTCCTCTCCAAGCTTCTCCAGGGAAGGGAATCAAAGGGCTCAGCTCAAGCCACGTACCCATGGCTGGAGGGCTGGGGTCCTACTGTAGCATCAGGCCTCCCACACTACCTAAGAGTTTGGGTGAAGGAGGGTTCCTACAAAGAGACTGGGGGAGTATAGACAGAATCACCTCAATCCATCTCAACTTTTAGTAGTAGCCAATTGAGACTTGCTTACAGCAAGTGTTTCTTAAGATTGCAAAAAGAAAAATCAAAGAAGTCCCAGTGTTAAGTAGAAGTTTTTTATATTGTTTAAAATACATTACATAAACACAGAATTAGGAATAAACTCTTCTTGTTTAGAGCTCTTAAACTGCTAAAAGAGGCTTATAAATTAATGGCAAGCAAAACCCCAACACAAATGAACTCAGGTTTATATTACTTTAATGTGGCACATGGGGCTGCTGCATGGGAACCACTGCAGGATCACAGCTTAACTGACTCCAGTTAAGTTAATCAATGTTATACTCCTACTTCACCCCTGCCCTGCCTGAGGCCACCCAGAAGCTATCTGGTTAAAACAACTGTGGCTAGCCACTTCCTGAGAGCTGTCAAGCAGGAAGAGGAGCAGGATACAGCTCTACCCTCCCTGGACTATGAACAGGAAGTCAAAGAATCCCAGGTGGTGAATACTTCAGCAAGTCACTTTTCTCCTTTTAAATCAAAGAAGTTACAGAACAAAATATGGCACAATTCTGAAAAAACACTGGTCCTCTCTCCTTGACACCTGCCCCATCCAGGGGAGGGCTTCTACCGTGGGCTACTGGAGGTGCCAAACTCAAGGTGGTGCCCACCCTCCTCAAGCCTGGGAAGAGCAGCCGTCATTTGCCCTCAGTCTGTTTATAGCATCACGCTTCTCCAGGGCTTATTGATGTCTGCTGCTGGTATATGCCAAGGGTCAAATTTCTCCATGTTTCCAACCCATGGGAGACCAAGAGGTGCCAAGCCTACAATGCCTTCTGGCTGCTTGCCTGCCTTCCTCTGGCCTCGGTGGGCAGATACACCCTGCCCAGAGACTCCTTGGGTAGTAATCCTCACTGGGGAGGAAGTGTATGTACGGGCACCATGACACATTCTGCAGATGTCTTCCATGTCTCTTGACGAATTGGTTCTCTTACTGCAGGGCAGGGCAATGAGGATAGAGATTCTTGAGTTAACACCTGGCAGCCAGGTACACTGGGGTAGAGAAGCTCCCTCAAGGTCACAGCTGTGGAGAGAAGTCAGGACCTAAAAACAGGCTAGTCCTGTTTCTCATATGCAAAACAGAGCACATTAATTCAAATTACAACCAAAAGCTTATAAAAGATGCAATCATTTTCCCTTCTGGAGGTTTTTGGTTTTTGTTTTTGTTTTTTAATTTCACAAACATTTTAATATTTTTCATAGTGGATATTTTGCAAAAAAGGGGAGAGGTGGTTCTCTCCAAAATTTCAATATGGCTCTTTATCTCTTATACTAACATTAAAACACTATCTGCTATAAAATGAGTTAATAGAAAAGAGGAACTATGCTAATTTTAAACAATTACTTCAACATAAAAGAATAAAACATAATAAAGAGCATATGTTGCTTGGTGCTAATGACATAACATTTTATAATCATATAGATGAAGCAAAACATACAACATCAACCAGATATTGAAATGGTTTAGAACTAGTATCTAAAGACAAATATTTCAGAAAATATGTCGAAATGTAACCACAGATTTGTTATAGGGAGTTAATGCACTTTTTTGGTTTCTCAAAATGAAAATGTGTTCTGATATTAATAATATATATTCTAAAAATTACAGGAGAAGCAGTTTTCATGTTTTAGTTCTAAAATCAAACTTTTGTCTTTACCACATACAGGATCTTGGGAAACTTAAACTCTCTGAGTATCAGAATACTAATTTTTAGAATGGGTACAGTAACATCTTAAAGAATTATCATGTTGTTTAGATAATACCTGTAAAGTACTTTCCCTGGCATCTGACACATACTAAGTACTCAATAAAGAGTGGTGAGTATTTTTTCTATTACTAGTACTATTTTTCATTATTTACTACTAATAATCACCCTTCAAATCTAAAAATAAAACAGCTTTAGAAGAATTGAGTATGACTGCCATCAAATAATAAAATATTGGATTTCAGAGGTGGTATAGATGATATCCAGACTGTAATCATGGGAGCTTATGGCTACAGTGAAGTAAAGGTAGAGGTCATTGTCAGGAGTTGAGGTTGAGAAACTGTGAGATGGTCAGAGTTGTTCATCCATATGATGGTTATTTCTTTCTCAGAATAAGGATAAGAGATGAGGTGGAAAGGAAGACTCAGTTGCTAAAGCCTCGGTGGATGTAGGAGAATAACTTGGAAGATGATAACATGCCCCATTTGAAGCCTTCCCAGGAACTCCACCCCCCTTTTGTCCAGCTCAGACTAGATTACATCTACCTGGTTCCAACCTACTTTTCCATGGAATAAAGAAATCAGAAAGCGCACAAAGAAAACTGTACTACCATTTCCCAGCAGCACCTCAAAAACAAGTCTTGGATGCTTGCTAATAATTGCAATCCACTGTAGATTAATGAGGAGGTTAACATGCTTTCTGACCCCACACTTTGTAATACGGAGAGCAGATAAAAATATGGGTTCAAATAAATACACAGATATTGACATCATTGAAGCAGCATGACATAAAATGATATTTATACATACAACATTCCTCTGCAAAGCAAATGTAAAATAAAACATACCTAGCAGATAATTTTGTTTATCTCATGTACCACACAGAGAAGCAGTACTCCTAGCTGTCTCACTAGATGGTAGCTCCCTTGGGTTACTTATTAGGACCCTATTTTAACTCAAATTTGAGCTAACCAACTCCCTCACTACAATGTAGCTTTTCCTTTTAAGGTATGTGAGCACAAGTGTGCAAGCATGCACACGCATATGTAGTGCCAAGGATGGAACCCAGGACCTCACACATGCCTAGCATGCACTCTGTGACTGAGCACTATCCCCAGCCCTGTGGCATCTCCTTCTTTAAGAATAAAGTCTAATATAGTATGGCTCACTTGCAGCTCCAATATTTGAAGTAAAGAGAGTTTTATGCAGATTTTGGCTTTCAATGAAACTCTGCTGACAATACAAAGATTCAAACCATAGCCATGCCTAAGAACCATTCTAAGACCAGCGACAGAGTCACATAAAAGGATATGACTTGTTGTAATTTTAAATATAATCCATGCTACTTTTCTCTATGACACAACATAATACTTTTTTCCAAAAGTCTTTCAATATTCTATTAACTGGAAAAGGAATAAAAAGTCATTTTAGAAACCAGAGACACTCAAGCACTGATCTATTCATAAAGTTCTTACACAGGTAAGTTTACATCAAATGGACAAAAATTAGTACAGAAACCTACATAAAGACTTAGAAACATCCATCTCTTAGAAAGCAGGTCAAATGGACTCAAAGACCTCACTGAATGCAAGAGAATCAATGGGAAGCAAAATAAAGACTCCTCCTAGGGAATAAACAGAAACCAGTCCATGTAATCAAGAAGTTATTTTTCTTCTTGATCTAAATGCTTGCCTCCGTCTGGGCTCAAAGAAAAGCTTTGGTCATTTGAACTGGTTGTCAATCAAGGTCCCCTTCATTTTAGCTTTCTTGGCTTCCAGTTCAGCCAGCTCTTGCAGTCGTCTCTTGCTCATGCCTTTGCGCTCCAGCTGTTTTTCAATCACTTTGGCATTCTGTGCATAGGAGTCAGCAACTTCCCTAGCCTCAATCTCCTCTTCCTCTTCATCAATGGTAGACACGGTGACAGAGCTGAACTTCCCCATGTCTTTGGTCCGTTTGGTCATCATCACCTTCTTTGGAGGCTCTTGTTTCTGAGTATATATATTTGTTTTCCCAAAACCCTGACCAAATTTCACTACTGCTCCATCCACGATGAAGGTCACAGGGGCATTCTTCGGCTGGGACTGGTAGAAGAGAGGTAGTCCACACTTGGCACACTTCTTCCTGTATTGTCGTTCAATGCCTTCAGGCCTTCGAAGATACACAGTCTCCTCATCTTCTGTATTACAAAATTTGTGAGCATGCTTAGCAGCATCAATCACACGGGATCGGTCGCGAGGCCTCATGGGCAACTTCTCTAACTGACAATCCAGCACCAGGACCATCTGGCCACACAAACAGTAGTAGACGTGGAGGGGCTTCTCACCATCATCATATTCCTCGCGGTCCCGGGTATCGGAGCAGACAACCGACCGAGACACTACTTTAGGCATAGTCGAGGTTTTCGTTTTTTAAGCACGTTCACATCTATTATTTTTGTCTTATATTATTTATTGGACTATAATTTTCTTCCTTCCATCCCTTTCAGGAACCCCTGGAAKGAAACAGTTCAAATTCAAAACACACTAAATGATATTTCCCTCTCTTTCCCCGCCCATCATCTTTACAAGTGTCCCCTGTGGTCGCTCAGGCTCTGACCCGATCTCCAGCCTTCACATTAAGCAACACAGATACCAAGAGGAAATGGATCTTCCTGGAGAAGGCAAGAACACTTCAGGATGGGAGCAGCTTCTTTGTATCCTTCATGATTGATTTCCATTTCTTGGGCTGAAACTAAGCTCCTTGAAAACAAAGTCAATGTTTTTGTCAAAAATATTTCAACTAAAATTATTAAAAAACAAAACTTTTTGAACAGGATTGAGATAAGCCTAGCCAACAATACCAACTTATAGTAAAGTGAAAAGGCAAAAAGAGGAGCCAACACTTGGGTAAGTATTGCACAGAAACAAGATATTTCAGTGGGAAAACAGGATGGGCAATGCACCCCCCCCCCCACGCACCATGAATCAGCAAGCTGCAACTTAAGACAGGGCTTCTAAGGTGACAAGCTGGCTCTATGAGTAGGGGCTTCTGTTATTTTTGTACAAGTACTTGCAATTTCCTTCTCTTATGGTTCCCAACAGGTTCCATTAATTTACTGGAAAACATTCTGGTTTGACAAGTGATGATGTACAAAGGTGTTTTGAGAAACAGTCACCATGCTGTCCTCAATTCACACTGGTGACACATACTCTACAGTTCAAGAATGAAGCYTACATCCCATTCTTATTACAAAAACTTCAATGGTCAAGAAGTTTAACAAGGGAAGCACCACAGGGAATAAACCAGCTCAACACAAGGGCAGTGCAGGCCACATAAAAATGGCAGGCCAGTGGGGGCCTTGCCCAAGGTCAGCCTGCTCGTGAGATACAACCATTCCAAAGCCTTTACTAGTACTTAAGAGCAGAGTGCACTCTTGACATAGGAGATAAGCTCTCACTAGCTCCCAGAGGGGCTAGTCAGATGCTTGGACCCTAAATGTCCCAAGGGCCCATAACACTGGTCACCAGTGGGTGGCACTATAGGGAAATGGTGGAACTCTTAGGAGATGGGGCATAGAAGGAAGTTAAATGGTCAGGGGCACACTCTTGAAAGGGACATTAGAAGCCTGACTCCTTCCTGTCTCTCTCTCTTCCAGCTGTCATGTGGTGACCAGGTTTTCTCTACTCCATGCTCCCACTGCCAGGTGCTGCCTTACTACAGGCTCAAAAAACAGTAGGGTTGAGTAAACATGAACTGAAACCTAGGAAACCATGAGCCAAGATAAATCTTTCCTTCTTTTAAGTTATTCATTTCAGGTCCTTTGTCACAGAGACAGAAAGCTGACTAACCCACTGACTTGGTACTACTCATGACCTTTAAGAATGGGAAGCTCCACATTCTAATTTACACTGAAAGCAAAGCCAGGTTTCAATTTTATTTACTGGAAAGCAAATTACTAATTCAAGACTTGAAATCCAGGCAACCTTCAAAACTCCCTGCTAATGGAGCTTCAGGAAAACAAAGGGAGGATACAGGTCCTAGGACTTATCTGAAGATGGTCTTAGGCCTATTTGCAAACACTGGTGTCTGCAATGCACAACAGTGTGCAGAATTCCAGCTCCGGCTAAACCCCTTGTTCCTGCTGATCCCTCTGCCATTCTCACCCTGGCACTTTCAGCAGGATAGCACGTGAGCCCGTGAGGCACTGGCAGATTCACTCTATATACATTATTTCTTCCTAGATCACCACTGAAAGAGCAGAACAAATAATAATTTGAAAGTTCCTGTGTTTCAGGTGCCTTGAGTTGGGTAGGTCTGACTTATTTTTATTACCACTAAGAAAGCTTATTTTCTAATTCACAAATGTAGAAGTTGGCTTTAAGAGAAAATATATTTTCTAAGTAGCAACAAAATTCCTTAAAGGGCTCCAAATGYAAAGCAACAACCACAGATCAATGATATGCTGGGAAGACAAAGTTATTTTTGAATCAAGGCAGGAAGCCAGGAGACTAGGAACGACCTGCCCAAGGCCTCCCAGTGGGCACCACCAGCCAATTCTGTTTCTAGCTTCCTCACCAGCAAATCAACATCAAGGAAAGATGTCTTGGTCTTCTAAGTACCTCGGAAATACTGAGTCACACATTCTGCATGCTTAACTATATGTAGCTCTCTAGCAAAGTGGTATATTATCTACCTGCTTTAACTGTAAAAATGGAAACGGTTTTAATCATTTATTGATGGGTGGTAAAGAACTTCAGTGCTCCATATTCTTATAAAAAAGAAAAAAGAAAAAGGAGACAGAGGAGGAGGAGGGAGAAGGAGAACAAACCTCTTGCTCACTTGATCCAAACCGGAAGGATCCTGCCTAATCTACAAGGATTGCAATGAGCATCATTCCTTACCAGCAGAGCAAAGAGTGACCTGTGCTCAGGCCTGGTAAGGCTGGGTCAAGATGCACCTGCTGAAGAACAGAGAGGCAACAATTACAACCATCACACAAAAGGAAACTCCCTCAGCCCAGCAGGTCTGCAGGGGATCCAAAGATGAGTCTGGCACCAGCACAACGAAACCTTAAGTCAAGCCATGCTCACCAGCTCTGAAGGATGAATTGGTTCTGCAGATATAAAATAAAACTCAAACAACAAAAGAAACTAAAACCACCTGATAACTCAAAAACCCAAGAAATTTCCAGTCCATTAGCAAAAACCTTATACCAGGGCCATATTTTGTCTTGGAGCTGGACTTTCCAAATTACCTCTCCCATGCAGTACAGAAGTGAGATTGTTCCAGAAAGCTGCTGGAACTAGTTTCCCTTTCTTTCACTGTGGCCTTATTCCAGAAAGATTCCTAAGCTGGTTATGTTTCTGAAGAGAATGTGAATGGGTTGGGATATCTGTGTAATCCTAAGAAAAATGTCAAGAGGTACTTTAGCCATTACTTCTTTTTTTCTCAAATATTTGCAGCTGAATTCTGAAATAAAGAGAATGCACTAAGAACAAAGGCCCCCACAAAGTTTCTCCCTGCCACACAGCACATGTAATGTTACTATCACCGAGACAGTGAAAGCTAATTAAAAGCTCTACTTAGGCTTTTTACATTTTATTGTAAATATTCTTGGCAGTTGGGTAGTAAAGGGATCAAAGAAAATATGTCTTCAAAATTCAATTTTCAGATTGTTGCCATCTCTCATTAGAAGAAACCTGCAGAAAAACTAAAAGCTGGAAACCGGCATGGAGCAGGTACATCCTCCAAGCCCCTTAAGCCTCCCCTTACCAGCCCACTTCAGGCCCAGCCTCCTTAACACAGGCCAGGACACTGACAGTGCAGCCAGGCAGGGTGGGCCTCTGCAAGTGGAATGAGCTCTCTCATCTGGAGAACACAGGTGTCACCTAACACCCTAGACTATGATCTGGCCCTATAAGTGGAGCTCAGAGAGAACTAGGCTCTTGGAGAAAACTGCTTACTTACTGGGCAAGGTGAACACATTCACAACACTCCAGAACGCTGGATGGGGAGGCAGTGGGCACGCTGCATGAAGATGACTGAGGTCGTAAATTAGCCTAAGCTACTCTACACACAGCCAAGGATCCTAACAGCCGTGCAGTTGAAAACCAACAGCACACTCAGAACGGCAGCATAGGGCACATCTACCTACCACCAGCGAGAGGCAGAGAAATGCAATGGACACAAATGACACAAAGTCAGAACACCTAGGCTCTTGGCCTGGTTCAGGTCTTCATTTAACCATTCAGTCTCAGGCAAATCGCACTCTGGGCACCTCATTGCACCACTTGCCACCCCTCGACCCCATGCCATCCCCCATCCACCCAAACTACTGTGCTACACTGGCAAAGTACCCAAAATGATATAAATTATGCTCACTCTATTTTGTCATTTGCTCCTTACAACAAAGCCTGGCCACCACAGAAAATCATTATTCCCAGTCTGAGTGAGGACATTCTGTGCACAACCAACAAGGCTGAGACAAGAAGTTATCATCTCCCAAAGTTGGCACGGATCCTACAGTACTTTCTGAACTGCAGGCACCCAGGGGGCCATTGCTTCTATCATGACTTATACTATGGCTCATGAGTTTTTCTTCAAATAATTTTTTAACAAATGTGCTACATGAACTATTTTGATAGGTAAATATTTAGTATATATATACTTAACTATTCAAATCTAAAGCTTGCCGCTCTCCTACCAGGGGCAGTGCCAAAGATTCTCTGTTGGCCAAACTTTGGATCCTGAACATTTTTCTAAGCCCATCTGTGCACTACCTAATAAAAATCCAAGTTTAGCAAGGACCTCCCACCCAGGTATCTGATCATCATCCATAGATGACCAAGATCATCATCCCTTACCACCACCACTACTCTAGTACATGACTAGTAACTCTGGCCTATCTTCAGTAAAAAAAACTGGTTAGACCAGTTTAGTCAGAATCCCCCTGACCCCTGATGTTCTCTCTAAGTAATTTTCCATTCACTGATCCCCACCCTACTCTTTGGCTATATGTTTCTACTTGCCCTTTGTAATTGAAACTGGGCCTAATCTCTCTCCCTAATGCAAGACCCTGTTGTGTCTCTGAACGCATTGAGGTAGTCCTTAAAAAAACTGTCCTTACCATGCTTTAACAAGCATCACTGAATGGTTTTTTAATAGCAGACCTGCCCTTTAGGAAACACTGGACCAAGAGAGGGCTCATGGAGCCAGTGTGCCATCTCCATCTTCATCCCCAACCCTCAACCAACTGTCTGATTGTTGGAAAGCTCGACTCTGAGTCCACGGCCACTGCCGTAAAGTGGGAAAGATAGCCTGCCTACAAAGTTTGCTGGGAGAGGGATGTAGTTCAGTGGTAGAGCGCTTGCCTTACACCTGGGTACTATCCCTAGTACCCAAAAACCAAACC